TAAGGAACCCTAACAGTAATATAAGTAAATGATGACTATCTTGGGGGGCTCCTTATTACAATTGTAGTAGCATGGGCCCCAAAACCCTATTCTAGTTATTAAGACCCTTACCCCTAAACCCTTATAGTAGCCCTTATAGACCCCTTCAAGGAACCCCCTTGAAGGAACTCCCCAAAACCCTATTCTAATTATTGAGGCCCCTATGTTAAACCCTAAACCCTGAACCTTAACCCCTAAACCCTACGCCTTAAACCCTAAAACCCTAAGCCCTATTCTAATGATAAGGCTTCGATGTTAACTCACAAGGGCCGAGGAGCGGGGGTCCGGGGGGCCAGGCTCCGCCGGGGGCCTCGTACAAGAGGGCGGCCTTGGGGAGGGAAGGTCGCAAGTCCGATTTTAGCGGGGCTTGGTGTGGGTTTTGGGTTTGCAGGGTTTCAGGTTTCCGGTGCTGTAGAATTCGGAGGTTGTTACGCGGTTGTCCCAGGCTTGTGAAGTGGTGGTTTCTTTAGGCAAGGGTTGAACTTTCAGCAGGTTTGGTTCAGGGCTACTTGTAAACGGGCTTCATACATTCTTCTTTAGAAGGTTTTTTGTGGGGGGGCTCTTTAAGAGATTGAGGTGTTGCGGGGCTTTGGGGCTGGGGCCCCTGGGGGTCTTGGGTCCTCCATCCTGAAACCTCAACTTGCCCGCTTCCTGGCAGTAGACATGCTGGGGTTGTGGCCTGGCTCCTACCTACAGCGAGGGCCTTTCAAGGTCTTGGGGTGTTTGGGGCTTCAACTCTTCAAGCCCCGTTTGTGAATGATCCATGGAGTAGTGTGGATCTGCGTCTTCGAGGGAAGTTTAGGGTTTGTTTGGGTTCTGCTGCCTTTAGAGCTTCAAGGTTTAGGGCCCTTCGGGCTCCAAGGCTGCCCCGACGGTGTCTAGAATGTAGGGTTTATGGGAGAAAAGGCGTCATACCACTGAAGTCTGAAATGTTGGGATCTTGCCATATGTGGATGGCATGTAAAGTGGGGGCCTGGACAATATAAAACAGTACACGGACTTATCATCGGAACACATGAGGACTGGCGAGCTTTGCCCCTGCGCTCGTCCTTCTCGCCCCTTGGTGCCGCTTCTACTACCTGAAAGCACTGCAGACACCTCTACAGAACATGCGACAAATCTTCCTGCGCCCTACACCCTAAACCCCATACCCTAAACCCTGGACCCCAATCCCCAAAACACACTTTTTTGATGATGTTCGACCCTGCAATCCTTCCATGCCAGGTCGAGGATAAATGGACACGCCTGTCCCTGCTGCCCGGGCCTAAAACTAAAGCAGGCGTAGGGTAGAACGCTTTGGGTTTAGGGGTTTAGGATTAAGGGCTTAGGGATTAGGGTTTCGGGGTTTAGGGTTAAGGGCTTAGATCTTTCTCTGGTTTTGGATGTTCAGGCTTCCACGGGAGGGCCCTTTTCCCCGTCAATGCTAGACCTTCAACCCTAGGGAGCGAGGTTTGCCGTAGGATTCGGGTGCCTCGGACTTCGGACGGCTTCCGGTTTGGAGGGGTTTAGGGTTGAGGTTTACGGTTTTAGGGTTTAGGGTTCGGGGTTCCCAAGACCCATACACCTTTTTGTGCAGTTGTGTTGATGTCCGTTGGTCTGCCTGCCAACAGTTGGTGTTGATCTGAAGATCTACCGCCGCAAACCGGACCGTAGGGGCCTTAATAATTAGACTAGGGTTTTGGGGTATCTTGTACTAAAACTTATGATCGCACGGGGTTCGTCAGGGCAGCAGGGACCCCACCCAAGCCGAGGACCACACTGCTTTGCAGTGTACTTCGTCACCGGTGTTCGGTGCACCACGGCAGATACGGAAGGGATGAGAAGTCGAGTTCATCAAACCCTGGACCCTAAACCCCTAAAGCCTAAACCCTTAAACCCCTAATCCCCTAAACCCCAAACTCCCAAACCCCTAAACCCAAAGCCCCTAAACCCCTAATAAACCCTAAACAGGACAATCTAAACTCGAAGCCCTCCCACGTTCTTGACACTAGCCGCTTACCCTGAACCTCTGAAGCATCAAAACGTCTGCCCTCACGGCTACCGAAGGTTTGTTAATATTCAACAAAGCGCGCCTAATGCAGAGGCCTTAATGAATGGAATACGGTGTTGCGGCAGATGGCCCAATTTATATTCAGGGAAGCCAAGGCATAATATTACTAATTCGTTTAAGAAACAAAAACAAGTAATGTTAGTGACGATGCAGGCTTCTTCCACCGCATCTCTATTGACAGACTTACCCCGAACCCTACTGATTTAGGGCCCCTTCTAGGGCCCCTTCTATCTTTCAGGTACCAAAAAGGGGCCCCTAATTTAGAGAACTACCCGCTACCCATAAACACACTTTATGCCCTGTGCCGCCACAAGACTCCAGCAAAACAGGACTCTGAACCCTGAGCCCTCCTTGGATCCTCATTGCCTCAAGTGGTCCGATATATCAGTTATCATATAGTAGAGTGTATTCTGATGGAGTGTAATCTGATGTTACAAAGCATGTTATGCAATGGCATTTGCAATAATGTGTATTCAGCTTATCTAAACCCTATACCAAAATAGGCTACAGAAGCCCGTCGACCTCCAAAGAAAAGCACACTACTTCTAGTCAGTCTTTAAGGTTCCACAAACTTTTGTTACGCTTTGAAGCCCTAAACCCTGCACCCATCCTCCAGCCCTACCGCTTCTCATCGCATGGACTTCGATTGCCAGAGTTCCTTTGGAACCATGGAGCTCGATGCATACCTTGGTTGCTGAGTTCAATAGTGAAAAACTTATACTTTCAGTTCTATAGAGGACACAATATTGTCGAAAAACAGAAAGACCCCTAAACCCTGAACCCACTCATCCAACTACCAAGATACATACCTTTCAGGGAATCCGAGAAGTCGTCGCCCACAAAGCCGCCGACCTAGGGAAACATTTTCTCGCGTCCGTTAAGGCTTTAAAGCTCTAGGGATTTAAGGATTTTTGGCCCTGGGGGCTACAGGGATTAATTCCCCAAGCAGGTACGGTTTGGGGTTCTCCCCCCCGGAAAAAAGGTGGGCCGCGGTGGCTAGATGGGTGGATGACGGGGCTGGGCTCCCATTTGGCTCCCTTATGTTTCCGCCGCGGCGACGGGGTGGGCTCCCATTGGGCTCCCTTCATCAATGGGCTCCTTTTATGCTTCCTTTTTGGGCTCCCTTCATGTTTCCTGTCTGGGCTCCTGGGTCGGATGGGTGGGCCGCGGCCAAGGGGCTGGGCTCCCTTCATGTTTCCTTACTGTGTGCTCACAGATGTTTTCACTCTTTATCATAGCACTGCTTGGGCTCGATGCTAGAACACAAGCCGCCTTTTGGACTTCGATCCTCTAGCTGAGCTATCACCTGCTTCTCCACCAGGGAGATCCACTATGCTGGCCTCTGGAGGTTTTCGAACGTATGATCTGTGCCACAGCTGCAAAAAAAAGGAGCATATTCTGTAACAACTATGAGCGCTGACCGCAAACAAGACATTTTGGACACGGCGTTCTTTTTCCCAAAAAGAAATCTTCCTTGTCGTGCGGACGTCATCACCACATATTCTTCTTTTGCACAAAAATCTTGCAAAATGCATAAACATTTGGTTCGCAGCATCTGCTGGCGAAGCCAGATTGGGTTCCTGCACGTTCCAACTTGAACCGGCATGATTCGATGCATTCTGTTTGGAGTCTTCGCTGGTGTAATTCTGATTCTAAGGGCGTTAGGGATTTTAGGCTGTGGGCTGTAGCCAGACAGGGTGACCTGGTAATTCACGCAATCTTAGCACATACATGGCAGGATACCTACTTTTCAATGAATTGACAAGCGTCTGGGTGGGGGTTTAGGCTTGTGCAGCTTGTTGCTGGAAATGCTGCAAGGGTTTAGGGTCAGGGCAAAGGTTTGGGGCATAAGACTTTCGGGTTACGTAGATTGTCGCCGCTGCAGCTCTTACTAGAGTCTTGGGGTGAATCGGCTGGTACGATGGATTCCGATCCTGCTTTTCTCGATTTCGAACAGGCTGATCTATGCTGCAGCTTGAAGACACGTGCAGTGCATGAGACGCAGCTGCTATTTCTACATATACTGCCTACCTAGCTACCTACCTCCCTACCTGGCTTCCTTCCTTTCCCACCTACCCCTACCTGCCTACCTACTACCTGCCGGGCTGCCCGCCTACCTACCGACCGACCTACCTGCTTGCCTACCGACCTACTTTAGGGAAAGCCTGAGCCGTGACCGGATCCCCGCAGCAAAAATCGACACATGGACCTAAGTATCCTGAAACCCATGATGCCTTTCAGGCGTCAGGGTTTCGGGGAAAGACTGCCGAACCCTAAACCCTAAACCCGAACCCGACGGCAGATTTAGGCCCCCAACCAGAGACATCAGCTCCTTGAGGCTGACCTCGCCCTGTTTGCGATCTACGGGACTTGCATGTCAGAGTCTATAGGAGCACAGCATAGGAAGCCAAATAAAATCTGAACATGGGACTGTTGAAAGTAATGTGCGTACCAGGCGGTCGGTTGAGGTAGTTTATGAGTGTCGAAACTTTGGTCCATAGTACGAAGGGATCGAAAAGCGCTTGGCACTTAGGGCTGTGCTGGTTAGGCAATCCATTCGGCGGTGCAGATTTCGAGCCGGGAATTTTAAAGGGTTGTGAGTTCGGGGCTGGAAAGGATAAGTCTTGGTTGTTTTTGGAACTTGGGGCTTAAGATGGGTTAATCGTTGTGCTGCGGTGCCTGTCTTAATGCCAGGCGATGTGACATGTCATTTTGAGTCTAAGGGCTTTGGGTTGGTCTTTAGGGCTTCAGTCGATGCTTTAGGGTTAGGCTCACTTGTGCCTTTAGAAAGAAGTCCTTGAAACATCCAACATTCCTTAGGCCTACAAGCCCCAAGAAGCGCTCTTCCAGCCCTGCAAGGCCTCCATCCCCAACACCCAACACCGACCCTACTGTTCGAAGAGCCCTGGCCAAACCTTATCAATGTCTCTTGGGATCCCTTAGCTCTGCAACAAGGTGCCTAGGCCTAGGCACGAGCGAGCTGCCGAGTCTGAGTAGAGCCCTGTGAACTACTTCCGTACTGTAAAGGTCTGAGTAATGATTAGTATTTTTCATTCCCAGAGTTCCTCAGTTCCCAATATAGATAGACTGTTTTTCACCCCCACGGCCCTCTTCCAATATTTTGGCTCCTAGACCATAGAACCCCGGTAGTAAGCCTTTGTTCTAATACCTAAAGCCCTTGCATTATTACAGCCCGACTTACTAAGCCCCCTGATTTAAGCAACACTTCCCGATCGAGACCTCCTCGTCCTTGTCCAGGTGCTCAGTCAAGAGAACCGCATCTTCCACCTGATCCGAAATCGGTGTTTTTGGGTTAGGGTTTTGGGGCGTAAGGCTTCCCTAAGCCCTAACACCCTAAACCCTAAAATTAGGGTTCAAATTGGGGCTTCAATGTTGGGCTTTTACGGTTTCGCCTTTGCTTTGGGCCTGGGGTTTCGACTTTGAAACCCCAAAACTCATAAAGCACAACAGCCCCTAAAGCTCACCTATACTACTGCTATGAATATGAGTATTGCTATGACTAACAAGCTTATTGTTATGAGTATTTATACTACCAAAACCCTAGAACCTAAACCCTGTCTATACTTCTTGCTCTTCTTATCCATGCACTTTCGGCCTCGAGAGCACCAAGCTGGACCATCTCTCGGACCGACAAGGTGCCTGAATCGGGCTTAGGGCCTAAACCTTGAGGGCTTAGGGGTTTCGGGTTTCAGGCGCAGGGTGTGCAGTTTTAGTACGTGGGGCTTTGCGATTTTTTAGGGCTCTTTCGGCTGTAGGTGTTTGGGTGACTACAGTAGCTTGTACTAGACTTTGAAGTAACCAAGGACAAAAGAGAATACACTCTTATTCCATAATGGTTCCCTTCAAAGGAACGGGTCCAAAAAAACAGTGTCAAAGCATGGTACTCCAGAACCGAAGCTTTTAGGGTTTACGGGTGTAGGGTTTTACCAAAAGGCTTCAGCAACGATTTCGGCTCGGGAGCTGCTTGAATAAAGATCTTGGGGGCTAGGGGTTTAGGTTTTGGGGTTCAGGGTTTCGGGGGATGCTAAGACGGGCCTGCATAATTGGAATAAGGTCCTGGGGTATGCGTAAGTATAAGTACAAACGGACTATAAGACAATACTGACGGTTCAAGCTTCGACTTTATGGGGCTATGGAAATGAGCTTATTTTGGCGTTTTGCAAGGTTTCTAGAGCTTTTCAGGGGTTGTTTGCTATTTGCGGTTTCCAGGCCTCTTTCGAAGTACAGCACGCTTAGAGACGCCGAAAGGCGCATGCAACATAAGCGGTTGAATGTGGGTCGTCCCACTCCCGACCTCCCCATCCCGCTAATGTCGGTGCAGCCAAGAACTCATCGTAAACCGCGAACACTGTTCCGGGTGTCCCGGCCGTCATCGTCCTCGTCCAAGACGTCGAACACCCATCTGAGATCCCCGGCAGACATGCCAACCTCACATTCGGGAAGAAGGCCAGGAGTCAACCAGAGTAGTTACGGTAGTTTGTTATCATCATTACATGAAGGGACACCCCAGAATGCAGGAACCTCCATATTGTCGCAGTGCGGGAATCCACAAGAAGCATGACTTCAGGAAAGATAGGCAGCTTGCTACAGCGCTGGGGCATATGTAAGTTGCTAGGGTCTTGGGGTGTACACTACCACATTGTCATAATAGCAGGACTATGAGGGGACACTCTTACGAGAGATTCAAACCCCTACGACGCTTTGCTCCGGGTTTCCAAAGTCGGGAAACTGTGGAAATCCACAACCTGGGACCTGGGCTGCTCGATCTTGGCCCACGCTGCACACCCATAGGCTCCGAAGGTCCAAGGACCCACTAATAGTCCCAGTCCGAGGCTTCCCCCGTAGTCTCTGAAAACACAGAGCCCGTGCTTCCCGTGCTCAGTGAGAACACGGAAACATAAAACACAAGGAGGGAAAGGGCACGGCTGCAAAACCTAAGTTAGCGTGAGCCGCAAAGCATCCTGGGTGCTATTTTCAAGTACCGTGCAACAAGCGCACAAGAGTGCAGAGCCTTCACCGGGTTTTGCAATCCCACCTCGTTGTAAAGCTCATGAAGTCCTATACAGGCATTATATGTATATATATATATATATCAAAACACTGAGAAACAGCCGTGAACTCCTAAACTCTAAGCTTTATTGCTCACCTTCAAAGGGGAACGGAGTTGTAGACCACCCGAAACCCTAACCCTTTGCCCTAAACACCTGTAGACTAATTTGTCCAGTGACCTAAGAGATTTAGCAGTTTATTAGGATGATAGTACCCAGAAGGTTAAAGGTCACCTACTCTACTACTACGTGAAATGTCCTTTTTAACAATTTCTGGAGAACAACACGGAGACCCAAGCTACCTGTATTAACGAATATACCATAAGTTATGATATACACCCTAATACAGAGCAAGGTATATTTTTCCTTAATGAGGGTATATGGGAGTCTCTGGGAACTCTTTTGGAGTGCAGCCGAGGGGCTTCGGCACGCTGGCCAGCCTGCTCTGTTGCGGGCTGTACAGTCTAAAGCTAAGGGTTTAAGTATTGAGGGCTTAGGGTTTCAGGTGCAGGTTTTGGGTTCAGGGCTTAGGATTACAGGTATTTTCGGAGTGGGTTTGGATTGCAACTTCTTTTCGGGCATATAGAGCCGCTTCTGCTTGCTACGAGGTCTGCTCCTGCGTAAGTTTCGATTGCCATGATGGAAATGGTGAGTGGGAGTCTTATCAAGCGGCTCAGTATTATGATGACTCTTTCTTACACTACTTTAAGGGGTTTTCCTGTAATAGTCTTATCTAGTGGTGCAGTATTATGATATTTCTTTCTTACCTACACTAATTTAAGGGGTTTTAGGGTTGAGCCAGTGTTCCCTGAGGACCCACTGCCGACCTTGTGTGCCTTGGTCACGGATGAGAGTATCCGGCTGAGGGCTTCCTGCATTTCTTCTGGGGTTCTCGGTTCAGGGTTGAGGGGCTTTGGGGTTTTTTGGTTTCGGTTACAGGCTTCTATGGCTTTCATGCAGTCCCTTGAAGGGGGTTCATTGAAGGGGTCCCCCTGCAAGCTCATAATTCTGTTTTGGATTTACCACGGTTGAGAAGGCTCTACTATGCGGTTGCATTGTAATGGTCGTATCCAGGAAGCATAGAGGCTTTGAGGAAAACGTCCCAAAGGTTACCATAATCGGGAAACCCAATCTTGCGGGGGCTTCTTTGCTGCTTTCAGGGTTTGGGGCTCATGCGAGCTTCAGCTTACGGCCGAGGGTGCCTTAGGTGTTGAGAGCCCCCTCCCGACGTGAATTGTACCGAGGGACTCATGCTCGAAAGAGTTGCAGGGCTTTCGAGGTGCTCGTAGGATCTGCTGCATTTTCGTGCTGTTGCAGCAGGAATAGAGCAGCGCCTATGGACAAGGCTCGAAGGAAAGAGTCGCAGAACGACGCAGAATATGATGCAAGTCGTGAAGCATCGCAACCAAAGTCATGGCCCAAGCAGCAGCATAGGGACAAAAAGGTGACTACTCCTACAGCCCTCCCTAGTATTCAATACGATCCCTGTTGTCAAGGCCATGCCGTCACACTGACTTGAGGGACTTGTCATGCTTCGAGGGCTTCAGGGTATTCTATAGCATCACCTTATAATAACTAAGTTTCTCAGACAAGAGTTTGCAAGTCGTGGAATGCCGCCCTACGGATGATGTTGTAGCTGTGGCCTTCACCAACAAAGGGTTTTTGTGGGGTCTTGTAAACAGGGGCCTATAAGGATATTACATGGTTACATAGCTTCATTGGGTTTCAATCCAAGCTCCACGCCCACGGGGTGGCAACCATATGAAATTTCATAAGAGCCGGAAGTAACAAGCTCCGGAGTAGAAGCACGCTTGAGTTGGGGAGTCTTCTTTCAAGGCTCCCCCCTAATCTTGCAAGCCTCGACATAAAGCAGCAGCCTACCACTCCGAGTATGTAAACGCAATCCCATGGACCGAAAAACCCAACACAAGACAAGCTCTAAATCCGTAGACTCTGGTTAAATCCGAAGACTCTGGTACTCCAGCCTGAGCAAAGAAACGTCGGAAGCATCCCAGGACGTACTTCAAGTCGACTGGGCTGCTCTGTTTCAAACGAGTTTGGAGCTTTTAGCTTTGAGCCCGATATCCTAATGGGATACTCTTTGGGGTGCTCCAGTTTCTTTTGCGACTCTTTTCAGGGCTCGGGCTTTGTCTGAGGATCCTTTCGCGAGGAGGAGGAGGAGGAGGCGCGGTATGCTGCGCTTGCTGTGGGGTCTGTGTGCACCCAGTTGACACAGCGCGACGGCTCTCCTGGCGGATGTCAGAAGCTTCTTCGCCTCACTGAAGCGCACTACCAATGACTCATCTGGAGCGTCGTGGAAAGAGGCAACACAGGCGGTTTCAAACGACTTTTCCACGGTACTCAGAATTGTTTGTAGGATTTTACAAAGCTTCTACAGATGCGTTGATACGCTGGGAATGGGGGTTGTTTGATGAGGGGTCTACATTATCCAGGGCATCGGTGTACGTTAAGGCAACTATGACGGCACTTACCGCCCAACTGCTATTTGAGCCCTGCCTAGCGGTTTATTAGAACAGTCTAGAGTTCTGCGCAGATTACTCGTCGTGTCACTGTCTGCTATCGTTGCTCAGGCATTATGTTGTTTTGGGCGAAATACCATACGACTAGTAAAAAGCATAGACGTGGGGCTTGGGATTCAGGGTCCATGCCTGTGAATACAGCCGAGCGGCAAGATCTGATCCTCAGATAGCAGCGTGGGTGGATTCCAATGACAGCTCTAAGCCCCTGTTTAGGGTCTAGGGTTTTGGGCTGAAGCCCGAATCCCTAATGCCCTGAACCATGAAACTATAAACGGCTGAGAGAAATTTTGTGTGCTTGCTTCCCTGCTAAGTGGACTCCCTTACGTAAGGGGCAGTACGACAGGAGACCGAAAATAGCATGATGGAGTGTATGCTGGTGATGCAGTCAGATACGGAAGGACACACACACACACACACACGCGTACACGCACACACACACACACAAATATACATGTACATATACATGTACATGTACATATACATATGTAAATACACACGCATTTGAATATGTACATGTATGTAAATGCAGATGTATATGCATTTGTACATGTCTGTATGCATGCATGTATGTATGTGTGTGTATGTATATCTGTCTGTCTGTATGTATGTATGTCTGTATGTATGTAAACATGTATACATGTACACATATAAAACTATAGATGTATGCATTACACACGCATATTCTCCTCTCTCTGCCTCTCACGGTCTCTTCCTAAAACCCTGTGCCATCCTAAAACCTAAATCCTTAAACCCTAAACATCCCTAAACCGTATGAACATCATAACAGACGAAACACCTCCCAAGACATCTTAAGCCCGAGTCGTGCTTGGGAAATAGCCACATTGATCTAAGCTCTTACAGCTCAACCCTTTAAACCCTTCAAGCCTCAAACCTAAATCAAGGATCTTCGGCCAAATCATCCGCACGAACATCTCCTGTTGGCTTGAGGGTTCCAGGGTTTTCAGGGTTTTCAAGGTTCTAGGATTCAGTTGGGGTCTGGTGCTTTGGGTCCGTATAAGGGCCTAGCGAGGGCTACTGCATGGGTTTTGGGTGTATGTCCCCCTAGAGATCCAATATACTTGATCAACACTCGGGAGGGCAATTGTGGGCCAATCATCATCTTTGACGCCCAATAGCTCCCTTGGTATCATTGCTGTAGGGGCTGCAGCCCTAAAGTTGTACGGGCAACCGACCTTTATCACTGAGTTATGACAAAATGGCGGCTGTTCAACACAAATGCCTGCATGCAAGGCGCAGTCTGCCTTGGCCCGCCAACCTGGACCGGCATTGTACACCAACGAACACTAAGAAGCTCTTTCAAGCAGAGACTTGGCTCCGCCGATGACGACCATGATGACGATGCCATGCGCCGCACGAAGTCTTGGAAGTCCATTGATAAACAAGTAGCCTCTGCTTCTCAACCTTAACTAAAGGCTCAACTTTGGGATTCTAGTATTTAACTTACTCCGGTACCAAAGAAACAATGCAAAGCACTGCAAAGCCTGTAGATCCCTCGAAGCAACCTCTCAAGGAATTGCAAAAAAGTTAATTTTTCAATTATGGTAGGATTGTTTGAAGCCCCAAAAGGTTCAAGGTTGCCTACCTGGCTACGAGTACTAAGCTGGCTCGTGGGCTTCAGGGTTTTAGGCCTCCGGGTTCTGGGGTTTCGGTTTATTACGGTTGTCAGGTTAGAATTTAGGGTTGAGGATTTGAGGATTTTGGTTTTCGGGTTTCAGGGTTTAGAGTTTACGATTACAGGGTTTAGTCACGAAAAGATGGTAGGATTTATCTAGGGTTGTGGGCTTGAAGGTGCAGGATGCACCTTAGCGCTCCAAACACCTACCTTTATGAACCAGATGCAGAAATAAGTCGCCACTCGCAGCCCTAATCAAAAACGTTGCGGGGTGCCTTGTTGCAGAACTTCATGGAACCCTTATGATAATTCTTTGTGAAACCTCTAACCCTCTTGCATCTTGAGGCCCAGCAAATCCCAAAGACGAAACACACAAACGTCCTCACAGCTCCTATACTACAACCTCTTCCACAATCTCTGATGAAAGCCACTTAACCTTTGTAACATAGGAGCCTTAGCGGTGAGAATAGGATTTTGGGGGTGCACTCTACCGACGAACTCAATATAAAGTATGAGGAATGCTTCAGACCCTCATGGTGACATGCCCAATGCAAAAACCTAGTCAACAACCCTTGCCTAAACCCCTAAACCCTTCACCCTACATCTGAAATCGCAAAACCCTAAACCCCTGGCCTGCGTCACCGTGTCTTCGGAGGATTCGATCTTCTGAAGGACCTGCGCTTTCGGTGTGCTCAGGAGGGCAGAGTTGAGTTCAGGAGTTCAGGGTTTACGATTTTCTTTATTGACGGGCGAGGCTTGTATGGTTTTGGACTTGTATAAAGATTGTGTATAGGACTTATAGGTAAGTTTGGGTTTAAAGGGTTTAGCTACTTGGTATCCCCTACCTCCCGTGGAATACTTCGCACTAGGGGGATGTGCGAGCAGGGATTGAGTTTGGGACCGATGGGAAAAGCATAAGCTTCAGCGACATAGAAGCATGCAAATTAGGAATGTAATTCCTTAGGATTTCGTTTCGCGCATTTATACCAAGACAAAACCCAAACCCCAATTCTGCTTGTTAAGGCCCTTTAGATGGATCCCTGATGCCAAAGCCTTCCGAGCGAACAAAGACTAGGTGACTAGGGTGACCAGGGATGAGGACTTCGGTGCATTGCGGCCGGTGGGATGGCCTTAGCCTTAGTTCGGGATGAGTTCAGCCAGGATGTCGTGAAAGTTACCTGGTTAGGCTGATAGCACGCGTTGAAAAACGTCGTATAATGTGCCGAACAGGCTTTACTGCATGTTGCCCGCAGATGTTCAAAGACGAGCATGCCATGTTCGAAACTAGAACCTTAAGTCCGAAACGAACATGCAGCACTGGTCCAAACTGTGAACTCGCAAGGCTCTGCGTGCTGCTCTTCGGAACGAGTTGGTCAAATCAAGTTGTTGTCGGACCCGTAAAGTCAAGCGAGTTCTGTAAGGCAGAGTGGATAAATACCTTGGCAATGCATAAGTTCAAAAGAAAACATCTAATCTTAGTCCGACATTTCCACAGGCTATGCAAAAAATACACCATGAAGGACACCCGCAGTGCTTTTCGATGCCGGCTTTCCTGCTGTCTCAGCTACAAATCCGAGACACCCAAACTATGAACCCCTTAACACAAAATCCGCAGTTTTGAACTCTGAAGTCGAAACCCACAACCCTCGAACCACAACTTTCAAGTTTTGGATCACAGGCCTGTGGCGAAACGATGCGATGCACCACCTTGTCCCTCAGTGCCAGCACAAGCTATCACAGACAGTGAGTGCTTGCTACTGGTATCCCAACTTTGGGCACCCCCCGGGCCTAGGGTGGCCCGATTTAGCCATGTTTACGGTCCAAGCTTGTAGGAGTACGCGTTATAGGCTATGTGGTTTGATTTCGGCTCTTATAGTATAAGGCCCCGATTTGGGGTTGAGGACTGTCAATGCTCGCGGGGACGTTTGGGCTTTTTACGGTCTACTCAGAACTTCAACTCGTCCCCAGATTTTTCTGGGAAACCCAGGCGGCGATTTGTCGGAACTACTGTTCAAACGATTTCCTGTCCGGGGTCTTACAAGAAAAAACAACCCTAAACCTTAAATGTAACACAACATGGGTTCCTTCAGCAGGTTCTGATCCAGGTTTGTATGGGGTTCCATATTGATATGTTGAAACGTGCTTGTACTGTATACTACGGATCTTACCATTTCAGGTTCGAGATTAGGGTCCCCTGGTAGTTTCTGGCAAGCAAAACTCAAGGAAAACCAATCACAAATCCCAAACCCAAGCTTGAAACTCTAATTCCCAAAGCCGTAGATCGTGAAGTTAATCAAACGAAAAAACATTGCGCCTAAATTCCAAGTGTTGAGGCCCCTGAGGTTGCAAGGTTCGTGTTCTCGGTTGGTTGTGTTTTGGGTTCTTGATGTAAGCGATCAAGTAATGTGGCTATGAGTTATGCTATACTACGACTAGAAGAACGAAATAGGACCAGTACATCTCCATGATAGAACTTGTTTGATCCCTTCTAGAGCCCTTACCAAGATTGAAGTTAAAGGCTTTATGCTTTGTAAAGTTTGGAGACTCACAACGGTTAGGATTGGGAGCTCTCAGAGGGCAGGCTTTAGGGAGGAAAGGGATCCGTGGTCTCTCTGAGACGAAGACTGTGCTCTTCGCACCTGCATCGCAGCCCAAAGAGAACTTGAAGCTGAACGTTCGGGGCTTCCGGTTTAGGGGGTTCTGGGGGTTCGCGTTTACTGGTTGAGGTGTTATTAAGGGGTTTAGAGATTTAGGGTCCAAGGGTGTCAAGGTTTTGGGTTTAAGGGTTGGGGTTTGGGGGAAATTGGAGCAACTCGTTCCTTGGATTTTTGCAAATCATCCTAACAGTCACAAACCCGGTTTTCCAGGTAATTGCGAATGCTGTAGGAACATTGGGGATTGATAGGCCCCGGGACAATGACCAGTCATACAAATGGGACGAAACCAATCGAGTTTCGTAGACGACGACTTGGCCATGCCCGAAACACATGAAAACATGACAATAAATCCCCGATGCCCAAACGCTTTACCCACGAATCTCCCAGAGACCCCAGTTCAAAGATTTGTCACTGTTAGGGCTCAAGACCTAAGGACCCGAGCAGGGTTTCGGGTGTAGGAGATATATTTCAGGATTTCGGGAGACACCGGGACCATATAACCCACGAGCCGCTAGCCCACAACGCTAAACCCACGAATCCCACAACCCAAACCCATTGGCTGCAAACCCCTCCGCTTGAATGGCCTCCTCATGCTCCTCGCCGAGGCTTGATATCCGTGCTTTCGTGACCTGCACCATCGAGTTTGAAGTCATTTGAAATCTCGGTCTAGAGCTCGCGGTTGGGATTCGGCTCCAAGCTTTCAACACCAGGAGCGTGCAACCGTCGCACGCCAAACCGCGAGACCCAAACTCCTCAACCCTATACCCGCAACCCTGAGACCTAAGCCGCTCAACCCTGAAAGCTAGATGCCCGGCCAAGGCCTTAAACTCTGAGAAAGGAAAAGCTTAAACCCTTACGCCCTACACTCGGAATCTCCAAACCCTTTATCCTAAGCCGGAAATTCCGCATCCCCTAAATCGTCATGCCCAAATAATGCCACTAATCTACCCCTTTCGTGATTGCCCCTACCGTATCCCCGAAAGAGCTTTAAAAGGTACGATGAAGCCCGATACGACAATAAGCCATTTGTGAATGATATGCCCTTATGGTCCTTCCAATAATCTTCTCAAGCTTTACTCTGATTATCAAAGCCCCTGGATTACATGTAGCCCGAGATTCTCACCAATAAATGCCAATCCTAGATCCTAAACCATAAACCCTAGATCGTAAGTAAACTCTAAACCTTTTCATTGACACTGGCCATGAACTTTTCTGTATCGCGCGTGCTGCTGCGATCATCGCGCGGCCGTCCCGGCAGTGGAGCATGTTCTGTTAGAGTTGGAGCAAAGTTCAGGAGCCGGATCATGAAAGGAACAGGTCACGTGAATCTGTTCATAAAGCAAGCAGCACTGTAACCTTCCAGCTTCGACAAGTTACGACAGTTTACAAACTCAGATACCAAGCAGCCTGCACCTCCTGCCTTGCACCTGGAAGTGGTGTAAGTTTTGACCACCACGAAGCCAGCGCGACGCAAGATGCGAGCCAACAAAACACCCCGCACTGCACAGGCCACGGAGCAAAGGAGGGGAGTTTTCATGAGGGATGTATAAAAGTAGAGAGGCACTTTTCACTCTGCAAGCATGTGCATGCTGATGACCCCCTCGAAGACGGTTGGGCGGCCTGACGCTTTCATTGCTCTGCCCGATGTGGACGGCAGAGAATTCAAGCACGGAAGAAGCATATGCCCTGGAAGCCCTCTCCAGGGTCCAGTCTCTGGGAACGCACTGTAAAGAAGCAGGTCATGTTTTGGGGCTTGCCGTCAAACCCTACACTCTAGACCCGAACAACCCTAACAACATATTTGAGGCATTTCGGCCTCGTAGGAGTCGAAGAATGTATCCAGGTTCTGCTCTTCGAGCAGGATCTCCAGAGGGGTGGGCTCTGTGTAATCTTGCCTCTTGCAGGCACCCACATCCCACGAATAAGGATCATCAACATCCGCAGAGCTGCCAGCATGATGAATGCAACCACATAGGAGAGGAAGGTTGGTGAGAGATGAGAAAATATGGCACCTCCCAAGCTCACACCCACTGTCTGACCTGGAAAGCTCAGAAGCAAGTAAGGCAGCACTAGTGGTGTAACCTTCGCCATGGCAGCCAGGAGCTTACAAGGAGGATGGGGTGAGGATACCTCTTCTTGTAAAGAGCCTTCCTCCTACAGAACTTTCTTGCCCGGCAAGTCTTCTAGCTGAGCCCGAGTTGTGCGAAAAACTTCAGTTGCTACGGCCACAAAGATTTGCACAAATGCACAAATTCATGTCCAGGCCCTAAGCCATCAGAAGCCCTGAGCACTAACCAGCTTAAAAATAGCGCATGTTGTGGATTGCAAGCGCTGCAGCGGCAAAACGTGTCTTTGCCCATTGGTCGGGGTGGAAACAGAGAGCACCAGTCGTGGCATTAGAATAGGGTTCTGGGTCTATTATACTATAAGTATTATAAGGAATCCCAAGAAGAGTATAGGTAATGATTAAGGCCCCTATAGTAGTAATGCCAGAACACCGGCAGCACCGGGGCAATCGTCATCCTCTTCGTTGTCCTTTTGCCGGAAGTCCATACCCAAATCCCTCCAACTGTTGCTTTCCCTTCAACCCCTGCGAAGCCGTAGAAACCCTGAACGTCTGCACCCGAAACCACTTCCTTGCAAAGCCTAGAAGCCACATGGCCCGCAGAGGTGCCAAGCTACAGGGGCAACATCGTGGTGCGTAACAACCCTAACCCCAACAAACCGTAAAACCCCCAACAAACCCACAACCCTACACTCAAAGAGCCCACACACCCTAAACCGTAAAACCCCAATACAGCCAAAATCCTAAGGCCCTCTCAAACCCTAGATCCTCCCACAAGGAGTCCCTGAGGAACCCTGACAAAAACATCGGCAGGAACACTTTTCTAAGTAATATTTTTGTAATTATTATGGTCCCCCCATAAAAAACCGATCCGATCCCTTATAGATCCCTTTCAGGAATTACCAGGACCTCTACTGGGCCCCCACCCCCATAATACAGGGGCCTTAAATACTTAGAATAGGGTTTAGGGGCCTAGTATACTATACTTATATTGAGGAACCCCCAAAATATTATAGGTAATTATGAAGGCTCCTATAGTACAGGGAGCCCCCTGTGAGTCTGGGCTACCGGACTTGGAGTTGACGGCTGTATGGCCTTTGGTGCTTTAGGGAGGCTTCAAGCTTCAGGCCGTTTTAGGGTTTTTAGGGGTTTAAGG